TCAGTCATTGCTGGGTTTTGTTTTGAGTTTTTTCCTAGATTTTCTTCTTTTAGTAGGGTATTTTGCACAGACTGGGAGAGAGCAAAATACTCATATTTAATATATGAAAATAAAACACTCTTGTTTTGTTATCACAGTAAAATCTACCATCATGTGATAATCCTTAATAGCAAACCGCACCAACTTGAGGTTGTTAATACAAAAACCAAAATATGGAGAGTACACTTCTACCGGGTTGAAGCTTTCCCTGGTATTCAGTACAATTATGCTATAAATATGGATTTGCTTTCACTAAAATGAGAAAGAAGGTGGTAGATAGATAATCTGTTGTGTGGCCCAGGGGAACATCTCAGTGAGTGATCTTTTTCTCCTCTCAGAGTTCCTTAGTAATGTGAAAACTTTGGAGTCTTTATTAGAGTGCTCATGCTCTCAAAAGTGTGTTGGTCTTAAAGATCTTTGTATTCAGCTTTTTATTCTTCCTGGCTTTCATCTTTTCTTTGCACCAGTTTCAGGAAATGAGAGATTTGTATCTCACCCACGTAACAAACAGTTTGTCAGCTTCAACCACAATATATGTGGGTAATTTCAGCTGAGGGAGAGAAGCCTGGAAGGAATATTTGTTTATGATTTTTTTTTTTTTTTTTTTTTTCCCTCCTTAGCATAAGCTAGGAAGAATAATTGCATGCAGTCGTCCTCTTTTTCAGAGGATCCTACTACATCCACAGCCTATCTGAAATAGACCTTACTGACCATTTCTGATGGTCTGCAACAATACAGTAACCGTTCCAGTAATTCACTGGGTAGAATTGTTTAGCATGCTGCCTTGGTTCATTAATATTGATCAATGTCAACTACAAAGCAACTTCTGCCATGCCTTAGACACCATTTGAGAAAATGGACTGTAATGTCATTTTGGGGAGAATATTTTTTTCACTCACGCAATGGATGTTTATATTTATGAAATACGAAACCAATGGGTGAAGATCAGGAAAAAGACCTTTGCGATTGCTTCTTGTCTGACCCGTATCAGTCCTGCATGCCCTGCAGCAGTTGGGCTGTGCAGCTGCGGGCACGGGTCCCGGCCACGCGGAAGATGTCAGGAGCCATTAAGCCCTTCAGTGAAGGGTTAGCTGAGACCACGCATGCAGGAGCAGAGAGGAGCTGAAACGTGGGGACAGGGAGTACATGACAGGTCGTAGTTGCTTGCGACCTCTACCTCCTAGAAAGCAGCTACAGTTCTGTCATGACCTTGACGAGGCTACCACAGACACAGCACGTCTGTTCTGTGTGGATGGCAGGGACACCCTCCCTAAGCATGCCGCTCAGCTGCTCCGGGCACACGCTCCACATCTGAAGAATAGCACGGGACGTTATCCAGTGTCACTGGATTTACTGAGCCTTCACTGCACGTGCATGTGAAAGACTTCCATCACCCTTACAAGGACCCTGACACATCACCGTGTCTTGAGAAAAAGGTCTTCCTCCCCAGCTGGTGATAGATCAATGCCGTCATGCTGGAAGTGAGTTGCAAGAAGGGCAGGGGAATGCTGTAATTTGTCTCACATTTTCTTTTAAATGTTTTCTCATTACTGAGCGGAATGGAAAAACCACATTAAATATTAATTTATCTCAAGTATAATTTCTAGTGCTTTATACGTACCAGCACAGCATGAACATATATACAGTTCTATTTATAACAGCTAATTTTCAGTAGTTCTTGGGAGTGTAAATACCCAAGTTTAAAAAAGAGGTTCTATCCCCACATATGCACAAAAAAACATATTGGGTAGATCTAGCACAATTGATACATTATACGTACATTGTCCCTGAAATAATATAGTAAATACCCTCTGCAAACCCTATTCAGTTGAATAATGCATCCATAATTGGTGCAAACTGGAATGAGATGGATGAAGACTTGAATTGGTGCCCTTGGACATCACAAGTCGTTCCTTAGTGGACTTAATAAGGTACAAAACCTAAATCTGGTGTGAGGTCAGATTTGAGCTGTAAGATATGTTTCTCATTTGTTTCCCAAAAAATTCTGACAGCGCAAATGATTGAATTCCAAGAGTTAAAATAAGAAGCAGGTTTTAATGTATTTTTTATGAGCTGGCAAGAAGTCATTTCTGGCAAGGATGGTGATTTATATGGAGAAGAAAGGAGAACTGAGTCACACGCAGTGAAATCAACTTACTGGTTTAAAGGCAGAAATGTACTAAAAAATTCAAAGGCACGGCTCTATAATAGTGTCAGTTAAAGGGATTGTTTCTCCAGCAGGCAATTTTCCTGTAGTTTCTCAACTACCACTGGGTATTGCTGTGCCAGTTCTTTTAAACTATGATAACTTTTGTCCAGTGCAGTGAATTTCATATCTGAGCAACTTTCTGGTTTTCAGTAACTGCTCGTGTGTATTAAATGGTCCCACTAGCTTTCCACTTTGGTGTTTGTTCTGCTTTAATTTAGAAAGAAATCATAGATTCATAGAATGATTTGGGTTGGAAAGAACCTGAAAGATCATCGAGGTCCAACCCCCCTGCCCCGGGCAGGGCCCCCTTCCCCCAGCCCAGGGGGCTCCCAGCCCCGTTCAACCTGGCCTTGAACCCTTCCAGGGAGGGGGCACCCACAGCTGCTCTGGGCACCCTGGGCCAGCCCCTCACCCCTCGCACAGGGAAGGATTTCTGCCTTAGATCTCATCAAAATCTGCCCTCTTTCAGTTTAAAACCGTTATCCCTTGTCCTATTGCTACAGGCCCTACTAAAAAGTTTGTCCTCATCTTTCTTATAAGCCCCCTTTAAGCGCTGGACGGCCACTACAAGGTCTCCCCAGATCCTTCTCTTCTCCAGGCTGAGCCCCCCCAGCTCTCCCAGCCTGGCCTCATAGGAGAGGTGCTCCAGCCCCTGACCATCTTTAGGGCCTCCTTTGGACCTGCTCGAGCAGGTCCATGTCCTTACGCTGGGGGCCCCCGAGCTGGCCCCAGCACTGCAGGTGGGGTCTCGTGAGAGCAGAGCAGAGGGGGAGAATCCCCTCCCTGGCCCTGCTGGCCACGCTGCTCTGGCTGCAGCCCAGGACACGGTTGGCTTTCTTGGCTGTGAGCGCTCATTGCTGGATCACAGTCAGTTTTGCATCCACTAATACCCCCAAGCCCTTCTCTGTGGGGCTGCTCTCAACCCACTCATCACCCAGCCTGTACCTGTGCTTGGGATTGCCTCGACCCACGGGCAGGACCTTGCCCTTGGCCTTGTTGAGCTTCATGAGGTTTTCACGGGCACAGCTCTCAAGCCTGTCCAGGTCCCTCTGGGTGGCATCCCTGCCCTCCAGTGCGTTGGCAACTCCACACAGCTTGGTGTCGTTGGCAAACTTGCTGAGGGCGCACTCAGTCCCACTGTCCACGTCGCCGACAAAAATGTTAAACAGCTCTGGTCCCAGTACCGACCCCTGAGGAACGCCAGTTGTTACTGGCCTCCACTTGGACACTGAGCCGTTGACCACAACTCTTTGAGTGCGACCCTCCAGCCTATTCCTTATCCAGCGGGTGGCCCATCTGTCAAATCCACATCTTCCCGATTTAGAGACAAGTATGTCATGCAGGTCAGTGTCAAAAATAGTGACTTGTGTTCTCAATGGTAGTAATCTAGCAAAACCTTGTTAAAATTAAATTACGTTAGTTGTTTTTAGATGAGACTTGACTGATTCTCCCTTAAGCTCTATGTAGATTTTTAAAGTTAGATTAAATAATGATTGATGCTTTCAGAAAATTAGAGATTTTAGGTCTTTCCCGGTGCAAATATTGTTGTGTTGTTTGACTCATAACCAATTAAATTAGCTGTTATAGATCTAAACAAGGAATTAATTTAGCTTGTGCTCTTTGTATGTCGAGTAGATGTTTAATGGTATGATACACACTTTTTTACCTCCATAATCGCAGTAAGCTCTAACCCAAGGCATTAAAAGGTTTACTTTGTATTGTATTGTATAATCTGGACATCTCAGAGGTGTTAGAAAAGAGATTTTATTAAAAAGTTGAGGCTTGTTCTTAACAGTGGTATTAAGGCTATGAATTTTCTAAATCCCTTTATCTGTACAAAACAAAGCAAAACAACATTACATATATAGATAGAAATCACATTTAAAATTTCATTAAAAGTGCATTCCACATCTTACTTTCATTTAAAAAAGCAAAAAAAAAGAGTCCTCGGATTTCTTTCTTTTAAGATGTTTCATGCTTAGGGGCAAGTACTGTGCATTCCACTGGAGAGGTGAATCACTGTTCTCCTGGAATAACGTTTCTGGTAAGAGTGGGTTTTGTGCAATAACCTGCTTGTTGCCCGGGTTTTAACATTGCCCATTTTGGATATTAGACGAGGGTTATTTTTGCGTCAAAAGTCTGAATGTGATGAGAGGAAGAGTGTTTTGTGAGAGGTGGTTCTATCAACTACCTTGGAGTGTCAGACCGTCCAGCTGGCCGTCTCGATGGCCGAATGCCTCCGACACTCACAGGGTGAGAAGCCAGAGGAAGTTGTGCAGTTGAGGAAGATTTGTCACACTTGGGCCTTGAATGATGTAGTTTTCCACAGTCGTGTTTTGCGTTGTTTCTTCCCTCGTGAGAAGAGAGAGAATGTGGAGAACTGAGCAGGATGCGAAAAAGGAAAATCTCCTCTTCCCATGCAAGTTCTAGATTTGCCTCCTTAGGATACGTTCACGTTCACTGGGCTTCTGTTCCCACCCAAAAAAAAAAAAAAAGCAGTGAAAAGTGTTTTTGTTATGTCAGCTAGCTAAAACACTGTGATTTCTGCCAGTGCTATGGCTCTTCTATAAGGAGTGTTGTGTAGGAAATTTAGTTTCTCTATGAAGAATCACTTGATATGCTAAAATTGAGAACGGCTGCTTGTGGGCAGATGCCTTCGCGCGCACACACATAGATATTATAGCTTCAACTGAGGCAATTCTCAAGTATTTCACTGTTCCCTGCTGACAATCTGATTTATACTTTCCAACAGTGGGATGGCGTAGGACCTCTCCCAGACTGTGCAGAACCACCCAAAGGAATCCAGATGCTGTGGCACCCTTCAATAGTCAAACCCTACCTCACACTTCTTTCTGAGTGCTCAAATCCAGACACGCTGGAGGGGGCAGCAGGGGCACTGCAGAACTTGGCTGCTGGGAGTTGGAAGGTAAGAATATTAACCTGATACATATTTCCTTTTCAATTGGAAAAGCCCCTACAGATGACAGCAAATTGGTGATGTAAGTGCATCTGAATGCTCCTGGTAGGGGAATAATCTGTTTTCACAGAACTATCTGCAGTCAAATTTGAGATAGTATTTTAAGTCCTCTGAATTGATACGGATAGTCATATCATATCACAAGTCAGCATACAGCAGTGAAAACCACATTGGTCAAGTAAAGTATGAAAAATCGTCACTGAAAACCAATATCCAAATGAGGAGAAACATCTTCCTTACAAATCTGGGTGACAAAGACATGAAAAATCAGCCAAAAATATCCCTAGTGACAAACAAATGAAACCATATTGTTTTGTCACTGCAGAAACTGGTTGACATTCTGTCTCTTAAGAGAAACCAGGCAAGAGCAGAGCAAGATATAAATGATGTGAGACCAACACGAGTTGTCTTATAATCTGCTTTTTTAAAAAGTAAGACATTATTAAAATACATTGACAATATGATTAATATGTACAGTGAGGAAGGAAATGCTCGATGAAGGCCCTCTATTTTAGCTAATCCTGTTTTTCAGTTATATTCAAAAGATCCATTTTTCTCTCTTGTATTATTTGCAGTGACTTGAGAAAAAAATTAGGAACTCATTAGGTTTTGAAAATATTTCTAAATTTAGAACAAATCAGTAAAAATCAAGATAACAGTTGAGCCTGGTTTACTCTTCAGGACAATTCCTTCATTGCTTTCCTGATGGTATAAACTGGTTTGATTGAGTGAAAGTGCTGTCTATCTAATCCTATTGTATAAGTATAATACATTGATTTTAAGTTAACTCTCAGTGGGAGTTTTTCTCATTTTACTGTGAAAGCACACGTGTATGGGGAAACGCAATTATCGAAGTTATGTATCAGAAGTTATCCTGTTTGGTTTCAAGCACTGGGCATTCATATGTAATGTGTGATTTAATTAGGCATTCATCTTGAAATGTTAGCCCTGATGCTAATAAATTGCCTTTTTTTTTTTTTCTCATGAAGTTTATTGAAGTTGAGTTGGCACGCTCAGTAGATCTTCAGAGGCATGTGATTTTTTTTTTGAGCAGTGTGTTCCAACAAACTTATAAAATGCCTTTGACTGTTGCATTCAGCGACACATGAAATGAATAACAAAGTATTTGTCCAATGATTCTTGTCCTATGTTGTGCTACGTATACAATGTGCCTGAAAATCATTATACTTTTATTATTCTCGTATTGTAGACCACATCAGATTGTGTAATCCTGGCACAGAAACATGCTAAATGTGTTTTATCCATCTGGGAAGGGGTGTAGCCTCCTGGTCCAAATGAGAAAACAATGCAAGCATATGTGCCAGGACTAATAGGAGTGTTAGAGTCCAAGTGGTGCCCCTTCTCCCATTTCTCATAAATCTGTATACCCATCATCCTTTAGTGGGCAGAAGTGCACGGTAAGAGGAAGGAAGGCTCTGCAGAGCTCTTTGAACTTTAATACTATCTGCACTGATACCATGGGAGAAGCTCAGCTGTTCTCGTGTTGTTACAACTTTTCTAAAGATTCACCAATTCCATTACAAGTGATGTGCAGACACAGAATGAATAGCCTTAATTTCACATGTCATACTAGCCATTTTTGTGAGGGGAATAATCTTCTTTGAGGATTACATAAGCATTGATGTTTCCACCTTTTCACCTTTCTTCTCCACTGCTGAAGTCTTCTGGATATAAAATGACTGAAATAAAAGACAGAAAACTCATAAAAGACAAGGTTATTCCTAAGGGAGATTTTATTTTTTTTTAGTTCCTCCAAGAAATTGTAGTTGTATAAAGAATGGGAATTTTTTTTTTTTTTTTTTTTAACTTGAAATGTTTGAAGAAGATCTTTATGACGGACTGAGAGTGAAAAAAAGAGCAAACTGCATGAAAATAAATGATGTCACTATTAATATTAATAGCAATAGCAATTGCAGGGTTTTTTTTTCCAATTAGCACTGTTGTAATACCAGAAGAATCTCAGAATATATGAGGCAGCCGTGCACCAGGCATGCTCACACACTTCCAACGATACGGTCTCTTCTGCAAAAAGTACAGTGCAGCTGATACACTCACATAATTATTTCCTAGCTGTTTCACCCTTTTGGTTCCTTTACTATAAAGGTGTCTAATCCTCTTTGGTGACCAAGAGGTTACACTTTTAACACAGGCAGTGCTAAGCCAGAGCCATTACGAAGGGAAAGGGAGCAGATAAAAGGAAGCCTGAATAATTTTCAAAAAATAAAAAATTGTGTAGGGGATTTAGATAAATATCTGCCACTAGAATTAACGGGTGATATGTGTCTAAATCCCCTAGACTCTTTTCAAAAATTTCCATCACAAAAAGAAAGAAGCAGTATGTAGCTTTAAGGATTAATAGCTGAGAGAGGCTGAAAGTTTTAATTATTTCAGGGAATATAGTTTCTCATTGATACATACACAGAAAATCAACACATGCACATAATAAATCTTAATCTGTAGGACATTTTTAGCACTGTTTCAGTTGTAGGAATTCCTTCTAAAGCCAAATACTACCAAAAAAAGAATAAAGTGTGACATGTATATTTGCATATCATTTTTCTGTGTCAAGAGAAACCATTTTGGACCAAAGTCTTGCCATATATTACCCATCTGCAAAGTAAACTTGTTTTTTTGACAATGACTAATAATGATATTTGGTCTGTGCAATTATTAGAATTAAGACAATCTATAGTGAATCAAAAAAATAAGCATATTGGTGACAAATACACTAACAGATGCAAATGAAAGTTTACCAATAAGACAGGATACTGATCTGAGCTCTGAAGGATACTTTCAATGTGAAAATTTAACCTGGGCTAGATCACGTCTGCATATCTTGACTTTGATGTATATTCTGGTTCTGAAGAAAAGATTGACAGCTTATAAACAAAGCAGAAGTCATTTTTGGAGAGGCTGTTTCAGGTGAATATAGAAGTTTGTTCATCTCACTTTCCTGCACCAAGATGTCATTAGACGGGGAGGACACTGGTATTGGAATCTGAAGGAAGCAAACCCATTTCTTTCCTGGAAAAGTACACGCATCTTCTCACAGATCTCTCTTTTTTTTTTATTCATATACTTGCTTGATACCGCTATGCAAAATATGAATGGCCCTTCTCAAATAATATATATATATATATATATATATATGGAGACAGGCAAATATGTAAGTCTTTGAGAGAGATTTGACAAATCAACGTTTTCCACATGGCTGCCAGGATACCACTTTGCTTAAAGTCTGACTACTGCTCTGTGCAGTGCCCCGTGATAATAGCGGTTGGTCACTGCGTGTCCCCCTCCCCGTGGGGTCGGTGGCCAGTGTGTCAGGCTGTCAGCGCTGTACTTGCACGCACCCATCCCCTCCTGCAGAACTCAGCTGCTACCTGGGGCTAGGTGGGTTTCTGTTAGAGGGGAGTCATTGCTTCCCACGGTTTTTATTCCCATCAAATCATAACCAGGGCAATTTCACCGTATCCTAAACTCACTACAGCGAAAAAGGAACAATGCATCAAAACGATGGCTGTTGGTTTTGGTTTTGCTTTCTTTCACTGCCACTCTGAGACACAGATTTTTCTGAAAGTAGTTTTTTTCTAATTATACTTAATATGGACTTGTATTTTAAAGCTGCTTAGTAATACAAAATAAAAACCTAGGGAAATACATTCCTCATCAAGCTTAGCTGGAGTTTTCCCTGCACGAATAAGGCTTGAGATGGGCCTTTGGAAGCAGTGAAGGCTCTTTATTTCCCGTTAGGGATCAATTTTCATTGGGAGCTCTGTTAGTTTTCTTTCCCACTTAATTTGGGTTTAACCAAGTTTGTGCAAAAATGCACTAATAGAAATAGGAGGTTTGCTGACTCACTCAGCTGTATTCTGAAGACACCTGCTTATTAAGAAATTTGTCTCACTGTAACACTTCAAGCCTGAAATCCTTTCTGCAGCCTCATGGCATTATTTATTTTAATACGTTGGATTAAAAAAATTATGAGGTATAAAATTACAAGACTCATCCTGTAAAAGAAAATCTCCACAGATCTTTTTATATATAGTCTGGTATCAGTATTTTTCCTTAGATGGTGGGAATAAAAGTGGCAGGTTCTTTTTAGTTTTCACCTTGGTCAATAGGCTATTAATACATTAAATCTACTGAGCGTGTAAAGAGCTATATGCAAAATGTCCTAGAGTTAATGATGTCAAGAATCCAAGGTTATGTCCCTTCTGAACAAAATTTCCATCTCAGGGAGAAAGGAGGTACCGGGGTATCTGCATATTACTATGTTGGTCTATAAATTTAGGCTGTCAGTTTATCTGCCAGACATTTCTGTAATACCAGTTGCTGTGAACTCATAGACTTGCAGGAGGGCTGAGGTCAGATGGGACCTCTGGAGGTCACCTGGTCCAACCCCCTGCTCAAGCAGGGTCACTGAGACCTAGTTGCCCAGGACCCCATCTAGACAGATTTTTGAATGTCTCCAAGCATGGAGACTCCACAACCTCCCTGGGCAAGCTGTGCCACTGCTCGGTCACCCTCAGAGTGGAAAAGCATTTCCTGGTGTTCTGCAAATCTCCCGTGTTTCAGTTTGTTCCCATTGCCTCTGGTCCTACAATGTTATTTTTTCTATTACATGCAGTTAAAAGCACAGTGTTGTCACCGCAAGTACGATTTCCTTAGTTTTGTCAAGCCTTTAAAAATGATTTCTTCATTCACAAGATTCTGGTTTGTTTTAAAATACTATCATAACTTATATAGGTAATGCATATCTTTCTAAAACCGGGAAACAAGATCTACTGTTCTGTTGGCAAAGTAATCGCTAATATTAGAGCAGGTAGCACACCTGCTCTGGGCCTTGGATAGTCCCTTCTGTGTGCCCAGTCTTCTGTCTCAGTTACTTTCAGGCTTTACAAACTTCCCTCATCTCCTTTAATGAC